TTTGAGACTCTTGAGTAACCGTTTATGAAAAGTGATGTGGTGAATTTTAATGCCAAGTAATAATAATAATAATGATAATAATAGAATTATATGCGAGTGTTTTTTAAAAATTTTATATTTTATAATTTAAATTATATTAAATTATGAAAAAAAAAACTCTAATATCATAAACTCATCTCTCATTTAATATTAAATATCCTGCAATCTAAACTTTTACATTGCATAACATTTTTTTTATTTTTAATTATATTATTAGTTTAGTGATCATCTTTTTCGTTGAAAATAAGAGTTTTTTAATTCGAATCGCATGACATACATATAAGATAAAAAATAAAAAAAAAAATTTTTTATTGTACAATAAACATAAAAAAAAAAAAAAATTTATTGGTTTGGGCAGTTGACTTGAGTTCAAACGCCGCTAATTTCTAGCTGAAAAAAGGAGATTCATGTGATCTCTGTATCGAGAAGATTACAAAGGGACTGAAAAAGAAAACAACGCAAATGACCGTGAACCAAAGTTAGCTTCAAGCGCAAGTGCGCAACAATATTAAACCTGACTACTCGAGGGAATTGGTGTCAGCAACAAAAGCAGCTGGGAACATAGCAAAGAAAATGAAGTCATATCTTATAAGAAATCCTAATAGTTAAAATTTTGAGTTTTTATATTTAAAATTTAAATTTAAATTCAGAAATAAGTAAAGAAAAGTTTAGAAAAGAGAGAGTTATTCTTATTATATAGTTTATTATGTGATGCATTAAAAAAAAATAAAAGGAGTCTCCTAAATTTTGCAAACCATATCTCCTCCACATAAATTGTGTCATTCTGCAAAACAAGTTTATTGACATACTTTGAGGCAATAGAAGGCCGCAGCCTGCACCAAAATATATATAGCTTTAACTGAGTCAGGAGTGCATTGAAGAAAAAAATCCTGCCATATTGAAAACCAAATAATTAAGATCAATGAGTCAGTAAGGAAGGCCACTCCTAAGAAGACAACACCCCACATATCCCTCCGCTTCCACCCTCCCTCCCACACAAGACTTGCACACACAATTTCACAAAAGAAGAGGGCAACACAAGAAGATTTTCATATTAATTTCATATTAGTTTTTTTTTGATACATCCAAAGCACTCATTATTTGCAGAATAAATGTTTGAATCTTTCATCTTAATCTTAAATCAAAGTTTTTAATTTAGTAGGTAACAATTTATCTAAACTTTTATTGATAAATTTTACCAAATATATCCACAACATAAATAGAATAACAGAGTGAATAACATTCTGCACAACAATTAACAAAAACCTTCAAAAATACTATTGCTATATGTTTATTTTGATGCATTTTTAATTACCATCTTGGAACAAGCCAGCGGGATGGTGGCTGGAATTTGAAGTCTTTGCATCTAGGAAATTTGAAAATCGACATGACTTCTCTATCTTTCAAGCTATAGATACCCATGTCACAACCCGAATAGTCTCTAAACCAAAAATCATCTGTGGTGAAGTAAATAGAATTCCCTTTACAAGTCCTATGATGTTTTGTTGATACTGACACTGAGTGATTTCCCCCCACAAACAACGACCAATCACCAAGGGATTTCACTTCTTCCCATTCCCTCCTTTTCAAATCCAACTTGTATACATCAAATAGTTCTGTTCTGTAACGACATTCCATAGGAGCCAACCGTTCACTACAAATAAACCTCACAACAAGTAGGATCTCCCCACACAATTCAACTAAGTAATTGGTGCTGCTACGAGTCGAGAAGTAACCTATTTTCTGAACTGATTTTGCAGGTAAAGCAGCGGTAGAAACAATGATCTTTTTCCCAGGTCGACCAAAACATCCCCATAAATCCCAACAATGAATGGCACCATTGGGGCATATTCCATAGAGCTTATTATTACCATAGCTTATGATGTCTTGATAGGTCTGAGACCTCGAATCATAAAGTTCTGTCCAGAATCCGTCCCCATCCTTATAGTATGCAAGCTTTGGTCCATTGAAATGGAGCATCAAAACCACATAATAATCTTCACCAGGTTCTGCAGTCAAAATAGCTTTTACAACAGAACATGCACAATATTTGCAGAAGGGAGATTTGAGGGAAGGGAGTTGGATTCGAACCTCAGTAAAAGGATTGAAGAGGAATGGAACTAATGCTTTGGTGTCCAAAAAGATCAACCATCCATGGGATGATCCAATGCAGGAAGAAGACCCAAGAAACAAGTCCGATGTTGTCTTCTTCAGACTGTAAACCATGTTTTCTTCGAGATTCATTATACGGTGAGAACTGTCACCGGTGCGATTAGAATAGCTTGTGTACCCTTCTTCTCCCTGTTGTTGTGGAGGAAGCATGAGCGATGGGGTATTGCGGAGTCGCACGTAAGGGTCAGAGGAGAGGAAGGCTTCTATGGAAGAGTTCCAGGAAGAAGAGACAGCCTTTGCACGGAGGATGTCGATCAACGACAGGCGCTCCAGGATGTCTCCGAGGACACTGCCGTGGAGTCCAGTAATTTCTGTGGGGCTTACATCGGTGGAGGAGGAACCAGAGACAGTTTTCACTGGGACTTCGACATTCAACGTCTCCAAGACGTCTCCGATCTTATTGACCTCCTCTCCTCTTCTGATGTTTCTATTATGAAAGTCATCGGTTTCTGCTCTGGTTTTCTTCATTGTTGAAATAGACGGTAGGGGAGAAATAAACACAAAAACTGAGATAGAGTTGATGCCAAAGAGGGAGGGTTTGATGATTTGGATTGGATCTAAACCAAATTCATCGTAGGTGAAAGAACCGGATTAGAACTAAATTTTGAGCCTAAATCAACTGCACATGATTCCTGTCCATCGAAGGTACCAGATAAACATAAGACTGTGTTTGGCTCCGTTTACCCAAGAAAGTTTT